CTCTTTGACGAGAACGGATAGAGACAAGGACGTCGGTGTGGCTTTGTAGACAAAGGTTTTTTGCTTCGCCATTCTTTTTTCTGTTTGGAAGCATGCATACTAGTAGCTATCCAGAACGGTTCTCACTTGTTTGCTAGTCCATGGTCTTGCTGCTCTGTTCAGTATTGTCTACTACCCAAAGCATACAATCCAGGAATCGCGATGTATCACATACATGCAAGCAACACCGACGACGTGGTGTTTCGTCGATGCTCGAGGATCGTACCGCGCAACCAGGCTGCCACGTGGGGTCCGTAACCGGATCCTCCGACCGTTATCGGATGCGTATCCGGGAATTTTGGATTCGCTACGAGCGGCAGCAAGCAGCACCAGGATGACGACCGAGCTGACCAGCAGTCTAACTGTAGCAATTGAAGCACGCCAACAAGAACGTCTGGAACGCGGCTCACACGCTCCTTGATGACGCGGAGCGTCTGGGGACCCACGCACGTCGTCGCGAGCGCCTCCAAGAACAGCTCTGTCGACGCCAAGTGGGCGCGCTGCTGGAGGTCGAGCGTCGTCAGCGCAGGTACAGACGACAAGCCTGCGATCAAGGTCTTAGCTGCCCACTTCGTCGCCCGTGAGCGACGTGTAGCCACTGCGTGACACACCGTCGTTCGTGACACCGTCGCTTATATAAAGATCTGGGGCTCTCTTGGTTGCACTGGATTGGCTGCTGGACCACGAACTTCCACCAATCCGATCTCGTATCCAGATAAGAATTTAGAAGCGGATATGCCCGTTGAAGCTCGAGCGACACAGCACATTGCGAACAGAAAACAAAATGACCGACAAAAAACGCACGCCTCGGGCCCGCACGACGCCGCCCGACGCGCTCGCGCTTCCGCACGTCACCGAGGCCATTGCGATGTGCTTGGACAACCAGGCGGACTTTAGCAGCTTCCTCCACTCGGTGCCACGCTCGCTCTGGACGCTGGCGCTCACGGCCTTTCTCGACTGCAGCACGACAGCGCCGCATTGGGTCTACGCCAACTGGCCGTGCATTGTGCTGCGCGACATGGACTTGTCGCCTTCGGTCTGGACGCTGCTCGCGGCGACGCTGCCGCTGCGTCCACGCATCGAACTCCAGTTTGCGATCCAGGACGCAGCGCGACTGACATCGCTCGTTGCCGTCCTCGGCCCTGCGCTCAGCAGCGTCATTCTCTTTTTCTCCCGCGGCTGCATGGTCCAAGGCCGAGGCCAAGCGATCAGCAACCTCCTCTTGCAGCGCTGCCCACGTCTGCGCCAAGTGTCGATCTCGGTCATTTCTTGTTCCGAGAACGAGGCCGTCGAGCTCAACGATCTGCTCGCTGTCGTCGCCCACCCGCATGTCCGCGACTTCGACCTCGAGCTCGCAACCGCGACACCACGACTCGGGCATCACTTGGCCGCATGGCTCTCGACAGCACCGGCGACGAAGCTCCGATTGGTTGATGTCGCCCAGATGGACCACGATGCTGTCATCGCGTTCTGCAAAGCGCTCCAAGCCAGCACGACGCTGCGAGAGCTCACCATGTACAACACACCTGCCCTCGGTGGCTTCCACGGCCGCACGCTTCCAGTGTCCCTGAAGCGCTTTGAGTGGAATGTGAGCTCGAACGTGGTTGTCGACGCCGCAACGCTGACGGACCTCGCGACTGCCGTCGGGCCCACGCAGCTCGAGCGTCTCGAGTGCAGCGTCTTTGGCCAGTTGGCGACATGCCCGGCGGCGGCGCCAATGCTATCGCAACTGCAGTCCCTTGTCGTCTCCAGGTTGCACGTCGATAACATGCTGGCATTGATCGCGGGCTTGTCGTCGGTCCCGGCGCTGACGTCTCTTGATCTTCGCCATTGCAACCTCTTGTTGTCGACGGAGCTGCTCATGGAGACGCTTGCGATGACGTGCATGCATCTCGAGACGCTGCGCGTCAGCGATCAGCAGTCGACGCACGATGGGGCCACCGCTGTTCTCTCGGGCGTGTTGCAATTGCCACGCTTGACGACGCTGGACCTCTGGATGCCTCTGCTGGATGTGTTGCATGTGCTTCCAGAGCTCGTTGCTGCGGGCCGCCACCTTCGCCGCCTCTCCTTGATGAGCATCGGGCGACCCAACTACAAAGTGGAGAAGCGCGCGATCTACGAGGCGCTGGCGCAAGTCCCCAACGTCCCGTTTGTGCTTCAGACGTTGCCAAAAGACATGGACAAGTTCGTGGTCGACGCGCTCAGTCGACGCGCCGATCGTCGCCACCATTGCGACTTGGCTCTCTGAGCGTTCCAAATAGCCACAAATATGTTTTTCTTGTTTGGTTCAAGGTGCCATTGTGATCAAGCAATTCTGTGGTTCCAATACCAATGGGAAAATATGAGAAAGGAACAACACCTACGGGGCTGGAACGTCGCACCTCGTATATGGATTTCCGTTGGTGCGAAATTTCCACGTCGAGTGGCGATCGACCAAAACCACAACATGGCCAACTGTATTCTGTGTATTTACTATTTGGTACTAGTATTCGACAAGCTTTCTTATTAATGGTGTCGCCATCGCGTACGGCTATCACAGCATCGACCTTTTGACACCATCGAGATGCCTTGTCATGCTCCCACGTACTCGAATTAAATATCATTGTATATAGTTGATACATGCAAGCGACAACCGTCGCTTCGATAATGTCGCAGTGCGACCTTCACAAAGGAGTCGACATCGATTTCTGGCCGGACGTCGCGCCAGCATAGTGTAGATTCGCGCTTGCACTACGCGCCATCAATCCGACACGGTAACCGCGTGTGAGAGTGGATTGGTGGAAATTTTGGTCGAGCGGCCAATCCAGCGCCAGCAACGCAGCCCTCTCAAAGAGACAGTAGGTAATACATGCAACTATCTATCGAGCCGCATGACGCTGACGGCATCACGAGCCAAACGCTCGATCTTGCGCTCGCTCACGGCCCGTTTGTGGCGGACGAGCTGCCAGACGATGTCAATGGATACGGCGTCGTCGCGACCAGTGCGAAGTGCATATCTAAACGCTACGGATAGGCACCAAGAGGATGGCCGGCGTTGGCGAGCTCTGGCAGCACCTATAGCACATCCGAGAGACGCGTCGCGATGGACAGTGTCGTCAACTGCGGCAATTGCAGCAACAAGAACGTCTGTGACCTGAACGCATCTCACACGCTTCTTGATGATCGACCAGGCGTGAGTCGACGACGTCCCGTTTGGTGAGGAGCGTTTAGAAAACAAAGTCGATTACTTAAGGTCGGACGCACCTGGGTTCGACCAATCAAAGCGGATGTTGTCGCATGCACTCTAAAATTGAAACATTGATACTTTTTTTCCTTTGTCGAGTACGTGGCACGACAGCATCATGTCGTTCTCAAAAAGGTCGTATCTCATCATGTCGTTCTCAAAAAGGTCGTATCTCTGTAGCAGCCGTGCGTCGTCATGTCGCAACACCATCATGAACACAACATTATCCAATATTGTCTGTCATACTCCTACATATCCAGCAACCGAGTCGATCGAATGTCATTCCGACGGCGTCTCGGCCTTTCTTACGAGCTACAATGCGACTTTGGCATAGTGGGCGACGACGACGGTGCGTGCGATTTGGTTCTTTCTGGTCGTACTAATAGGTGGTAAGGTGGTTGATGAAGATTCAAAATGCAGGAGTTTTTGAGTTTATCTAAAACTCAAACGACAGCGATCACCACGATCGGCACGCGGTCCAAGGGCGTCGACCACAAACCCATCGGTGTCTTCTGGCAGCGCGTCCATGAAGAATGGGGCGTTCTGGAGAAGTGCTAGCGCCCGACAGAGCGCGCGCTTGCCTTCACCAACACCGCCAGGCTTTTCGTAAATGGTCTCCAAGTGGAGCGTCCGGAGATGGCGGCCCGCGGCAACGAGCTCCGGAAGCACGTCGAGCATGGGAGAGAGCAGGATCACCATGCTCAGCGACGTCAAGCGCGGCAGGTTCAGCGTGCCAGAGAGGACAGCTACGACCTCACGCCGCGTCAAAGCATCCCAACCCCAGACATGGAGCGTCTCGAGATGCATGCACGTCGTCGCAAGCGTCTCCATGAGCGGCTCCGCCGACGAAGAGAGGTCGCAATCGCAAAAATCAAGAGACGTCAGCGCCGGGACCAACGACAAGCCGTCGATCAACGCCTCCATGCGGTCAGCGTCCACGCGGAGACCGTAAGGGACTGGAGTTGCGATAGCTTCGGCCACGCGCCCGGGCATGTCGCCAGCTGGGCAAAGCTGTTGCACTTGAGATGCTGGAGCTGCGTGGGCCCGACAGCGGTCGCAAGGTCTGTCAGCGTTGCAACGTCGCCGGCTCTAATGAACGGCACATCCCAATCCAAGGTCTTCAACGACAATGGAAGCGTACGACCATGGAAGCCACCGAGGCTGCGGACGTTGACGATGGCGAGCTCTTGGAGGGTTGTGCTGGCTTGGAGCGCATCGCAGAACGCAATGGCCCCATCGTGGTTCATCTGGTCGACATAAGTCAATCGAAGCTTCGTCGTTGGCGTCGTTGAGAGCCATGCGGCCAAGCGATGCCCGAGTCGTGGCGTGGTAGTCACGCCCTGCAGGTCGATAGACAAGTCGTGCGGGTGGGCGACGACAGCGAGCAGGCCGTTAAGCTCGACGGCATTGCTCTCGGAATAAGATTCGACATCGATAGCCACGCGGCGCAGACGTGGGCAGCGCTGCAAGAGGAGGTCGCTAATCGCTTGCCCTCGGCCTCAGTCCATGCGGCCGCGGTAGTAGCGGAGCGCGACAGTGTTGAGCGCAGGTCCGACGGCGGCAACGAGCAAGGTCAGTGGCGCGGCGTCGCGGATCACATACAGGACTTCGATGCGTGGACGCAGCGGCAGCGTCGCCGCGAGCAGCGCCAAGACTGAAGGCGGCAAGTCCATGTCGCGCAGCACAATGTGCGGCCAGTTGGCGATGACCGATGATGGCATCACCGTGGTGCTGTCGAGAAAGGCCGTGAGCGCCGCCGTCCAGAGCGACCGTGGCAACGCGTGGAGGAAGCTGCTAAAGTCCTTCTGGTTGCCCAAGCACATCGCAATGACCTCGACGACGTGCGGAAGGGCAAGCGCGTCGGGCGGCGTCGGACGAGCCACCTTGGTCCGGCGCCCGCTGTCGGCCATCTTGGTTTAGCTTCCAATTTTGGCCTTTCCACGGTCCGGCTCGGTTCGAAACTGGGTCTAAAAATGGCGCCAAAACCGTTAGCGTTTGAAGCCGAGCCGAACCGAGCCGCCAGAACGGTTCTCACTCGTTTGCTAGTTCATGGTCTGGCTGGTCTGTTCAGTATTGTCTACTATCCAAAGCATACGATCCAGGAATCGCGATGCATCCGATACATGCAAGCAACAACGTCGACGTGGTGTTTCGTTGTTGCTCGATAAGAATACCGCGCAACCAGGCTGCCACGTGGGGTCCGAAACCGGATCCTCCGACCGTAACCGGATGCGTATCCGGCAATTTTGGATTCGCGACGGGCGGCAGCAAGCACCAGAAGATGACGACCGAGCTGACCAGCCGTCCGCGGGACAAGCGTCCGCGCCGCCTCACGCCCGACGCGGCGCTGCTGTCGGCCGAGCTTCTCGAGGCCATTGCGACGTACCTGCCTCCCGAAGGCATGGCTTCGTTCCTGGATGCGCTGCCCGAGCAGCTGCGCACGCCGGCGCTGCAGCTCGTCGCGACGCTCTCGCAAGTGCTGGGGCTTCAAGTGCTTTGGCCCACGCTTGATCTGAGTGTACTCGTGCAGCTTGCGGACGCCGACAACATACTCGCCCAACTCCTCAGCGTGAACCCGCGGCTGTGCGTCACATCGCCGACGTCGCAGTCCATAGCGCCAGAGGTCGTCACGCCGCCGCGCACGTGGCCGACGCTCCGCCACCTCTCGCTCACGATTGCAACATGGACCATGGACTCGGCGGTGCTAGCGAGCCTCCAGCAAGTGTTCGTCGCGAATGCAGCGTGCCTCCGATCGATTGATGTCCGCCTCACGGCCCTGCCCATCCCGACTAGTAATGGGCTGCACGCGACGCAAAGCACGTGTCTCGCTGCGCTCGCGGACCTGCTCGTGTCGATCGAATGTGTGACCAAGCTTGTCTTGCGTGCTACAGACAAGGTGCGCTTCCCAGAGACAGCGGCTGCGATGCTCGCCGCATGGATCGACGCGATGCCGCTCACGTCGCTCACGATGAGGAATGTGGACAAGCCCTCCGCTGCACGACGCCTCTGGGCGAATCCCTCGCCGGTGTCTATCGCACTGGGTGACACGCGACCTCCAGCGCACGGCGTGGGTGGCATGTGGTTGCGCCACCTGACGCACCTCGAACTCCCGTTCCTGCTGCCCTCGGAAATGAGCCTCATGGTACAAGCGCTCGTCCAGAGCCCACTGGTGTCGCTGCACATGCGTGGCTGGGACGCGACAAGATATACGGCAGGCCATCCGGGTGCGCCGCACTTTCTCGAATATGACCTCCCGCGCCTCAACCAGCTCACGACCTTGCGCTTGACCAACGTCCGTCTCACGACGACCCACTGCCTCACGCTGGCGCTTCTTCTACCACGCTACACGCACCTCGGTCTCACGTCCAACAGGATGGGCGACGCTGGTATTCTTGCTCTCGCACCGTTCCTTCGACACACGTCGCAGCTCGAGACGCTGACGCTGGTCGACCAAGGCTTTGGTGACGTTGGCGCGTCGGCGCTCGCAACAGCACTCATGCACACACCGCGCCTTCGCACGCTGGACCTCGGTCGCAACAATATCAAAATCAGTGGCGTCATGGCGCTGAGTGGTCTCTTGCCACATCTTCCTCGGCTCGCGACCTGGCGCTTGTGCAACAACCCGCTAGGCGCCAAGGGCCTTGTGTTTCTTTTGCGAGCGTGGACGTACGTGGAGCTCGACACGACGACGTTGATCGACGCCCGCGATACAGTTGGCAGCGAGGACGATGCCCGGGACTGCGACGCGCTCATTTCGGCGCTGCCACGTCACCGACGATGCTTGGCTGGCAACATCTCGCGAGACGCCGAGATTGCTCGGACCGAAGCCCGTAGCGCCCAGTTCAAGGCGTATAATCAAGCGTACTTCGCCCAGAGGCTCGCGCGCAAGCACGCCGTGCGCGGTTGCTGCAGGCGTGACCTGTCGTCGTGCTCGTACGTTCTACTGCATGCAGCGTCGCGCTGGGAATAGCGTGTCATTATTTTATGTCTCCATTTTGTGTTATGCTTTGTGTTTCTTGCTGGCTGTACCCTTGCGACCACTCTAGCCCAGTTTGCTTACTCGCGTGCTAGTTATGCCTTTGGTGGTGTCTCGATGCTCGCTCGGCCCAGCAGCGGTGCTGGGAGGGTTAGGGATAACACTGGGGATAGGGTTCACGACCGTGGCACGCCTCAGCTAGAACAGAGAACGCTGCTGGCTGGCTTCATCGAATCTCCTTTTTTAGGACGATATTGTTGTCGTGTTGTCGTAGACAGACAGATGCTGGGTCGGCCCGGCGACCATGCAGTTGTGGTCTTTTGCGGCGCGCTGCAAGCCCCCACGATGCTCCAGCATCGGTCTGTCCACAGCGTCATCACCCTCGAAAGCTTTCACGGCCTTTCAAACTCCTTGAAGCGCGTCGCGTTGAGTGATCGTAGCTATCGATGCAACCATGACGGATTTCGTGATCGAGCGTCTCGAGTGCAGTGCGTTTGGTCCCCTAGCTGTCGCAGCTGCAGTCGCTCGCCGTTCCCGCGCTGGACGGGACGAACAGTGCCGCCTGCGTCGCCGGCGTGTCAAGGGTACCGCTCGACCTCCGACACCGCGCCATCGACTGGGTCGCTTCGGCGACTCATGCATAGTACCCGCGCAAGACGAGGGTGCTGTTGCCGGCACTTGCCACAGCTGACGCGGCTCCACCCAGTGCCTCAATGCCGGTAGGAGCCCTCTTTCTCTTGCCACCGGCTTCGCGCGATGCAGAAGCAGACGCAGTGGGAGTTGCTCCCGACGATAGCACAACATAAAGCTTGATATTATGATGTACCTTCCCAAACGATGCGCCAAGGGTTGAGGAGGCAGCATCACAATAGAAAATTGTACGCAACATTTCGGTCCAGCCGTCCCAACCCCCGGTAAAGGTCCATATCACTAGGCTCGTCTAGCAATTCCATCTTGCGATTCTTTTGCGTCTCGGTTGGCGGCGTCTCGGTTGCTGCCAAGCATCGTCGGTGACGTGGCAGCGCCGAAATGAGCGCGTCGCAGTCCCGGGCATCGTCCTCGCTGCCCACCGTATCGCGGGCGTCGATCAACGTCGTCGCGTCGAGCTCCACGTACGTCCACGCTCGCAAAAGAAACACAAGGCCCTTGGCGCCCAGCGGATTGTTGCACAAGCGCCAGGTCGCGAGCCGAGGAAGATGTGGCAAGAGACCACTCAGCGCTATGACGCCACTGATTTTGATATTGTTGCGGCCGAGGTCCAGCGTGCGAAGACGCGGTGTGTGCACCAGAGCAGTTGCGAGCGCCGACGCGCCAACGTCGCCAAAGCCTTGGTCGACCAGCGTGAGTGTCTCGAGCTGCGACGTGTGTCGAAGGAACGGTGCGAGAGCAAGAATACCGGCGTCCCCCATCTTGTTGGACGTGAGACCGAGGTGCGTGTAGCGTGGTAGAAGAAGCGCCAGCGTGAGGCAGTGGGTCGCCGAGAGATAGACGTTGGTCAAGCGCAAGGTCGTGAGATGGTCGAGGCGCGGCAGGGCGTCGTCGAGAAAGAGCTGCGTCGAGAGTTGGTCTTGACGGGATGCAATCGCGACGAACTGCACAGTCAGCGACTCGATCGGACTATGGACAAGGGTCGTGGCCAAGTCCTCGAGCTGTTCCCAGTCGAAGAGACAGAGATCAACGTGCGTCAACGCGTGTCCAAAGGCTGCACTGCTGTCGAGTTGAAACATCGGGGAAAGAGTCAGCGACGTGAGCGTGGGCTTGGCCCAGAGCCCGCGCGCTGGCTCGTACACGTGCTCCATGCGCAGCGACGTGAGCGGAGTCTCGTCGATCCACTGGCCAAGCGTCGCCGCCTCCGTGCCTGGAAAGCGCAGCGCATGATCCGAACGCAGCGAGAGCGATGCCACATGACGCAGCGATACGAGACCATGAACCAGCGTCGTGAGCACGTCATGCTGCCACCGATACCTCCATTTGTGGATTGCCGATGGCGCCGAGAAATGCACCTCGATCGACCGAAGCGACGCTGCGTTGGCAGCGAGGACGTGCCGCAGGCACGCGTCGGTCGTCGGTCCAGTCCGCAATGTCGAGGCAAAGGTGGCGCAGCGTCGGTCGCGCGAGCGGTGGCGTCGCGACTTCAGGCACGGTGAGCAGCTTAGTCGGTGCATGCACGCAGAGGGTATGAGTCGTCGTCAAGAGCTGGTCGAGCACGCGGTATGCGTTTCCAAGCTGCGAGAGCAGGCCGAGGTCGAGGCCCCGTGAGAACGCGCGATGCCCGAGCGCCTGTGTCAACGTCGCGACGAGCTGGAGCGGTGGCGTGCGCAGCTGTGTGGGCAGCGCGTCGGCGAGCACCGCCATGTCCTTGCTCGGCAGGAAGCCCACGATGGCCTCGACGAGCTCGGGCGACAGCTGCTGCATGATGGGCGAAGGATGATGGACTGTGCCAAGCACTTGTGGCAGGCAGCAGTCAGCATTTGGGTGGCAGCCAATCAGATGCATCTATTCTTTTCAGCAAATCAGATGCAAGGTCGAAACGTCATTTCAGCCAATAAGATGACGTTTTTGCCACGCTGTAGCCTACATGTTGATACGTAGTATCAAGCACAGCCTTGATGGTGTCACCATGCAGACGCGTGACCAAAGCTATCAACTTGATACATAGCGCCTATGGCCATGCTTAGTACACTATACATGTACGCATCATGTACGCATCGCGGCGGTGGCGCGTGTTCTGTGCCCATGATGCTGTCACAGAACACGCAGTACGGGCATGACAAGGGAGCTGCGAGAGAGAGCTGGGGTCGTCGTCTTGCGACCATGTTGGAGCGGTGCATACCGGCGTCAATACACGTTGAAGCACAATGTACGACGTATACTAGAGGACAACTTGTACTCGATAGTTTTCCGATGAAATCCCAACTACATGTCCTCATTCTCGTCGATCGCGGTGGCGTGTTATCCAGTACTAGTACATGGACTGCGAGTTGGACCGGTCGACGCCATATAGGCATCTCGCGATTCAAAATGATTTGGTTTCCCTCTTGCGTCTCGGTTGGCAGCGTCTCAGTTACTGCCAAGCATGTTCGGTGACGTGGCAGCGCCGAAATGAGCGCGTCGCAGTCCCGGGAATCGTCTTCGCTGCCAACCGTATCGCGGGCGTCGATCAACGTCGATGTCTCGAGCTCCACGTACGTCCACGCTCGCAAAAGAACACAAGGCCCTTGGCGCCCAGCGGGTTGTTGCACAAGCGCCAGGTCTCGAGCCGCGGGAGATGTGGCAAGAGACCACTCAGCGCCATGATACCACTGATCTTGATATTGTTGCGGCTGAGGTCCAGCGTGCGAAGGCGTGGTGTGTGCACCAGAGCAGTTGCGAGCGCCGACGCGCCAACGTCACCAAAGCCTTGGTTGACCAGCGTGAGTGTCTCGAGCTGCGACGTGTGTCGAAGGAACGGTGCGAGCGCAAGCACACCGGCGTCGCCCATCCTGTTGGACGTGAGACCGAGGTGCGTGTAGCGTGGTAGAAGAAGCGCCAGCGTGAGGCAGTGCGTCGTCGTGAGCCAAATGCTGGTTAAACGCAAGGTCGTGAGCTGGTTAAAACGGGGCAGGGCGTCGTCGAGAAACTGCTGGACATCTTGGCCGTTCATGATCTCGTTTCCGTCCTGAAGACGGATATGCAGCGATGCGAGGGGACAGTCGACGAGCTTCTCGGCTACGTAGTGCATCTGGTACGGTCGAAATAGCCGGAGATCGACATGCGTGAGCTGGCGGGAAAAGGCCGCGCTGTGTTGGAAGCGGAACAACGGGTCAAGGACAAGGGTCACGAGCGTTGGTTTTGCCCAGACACGCTGCGTGGGCGAGAGCTCGTACATGTTGCTCATTGTCAGCGACAAAAGCGGCATCGCGTCGATCCAGTCGGCGAGCGATGCCGCGGCCGCGTCGGGGAAGCGCACCTTGTGCATGGCACGCATCACGAGCTTCTCGAGACGCTGCAACGCCACGAGGAGGCCCACAAGCATGTTGAGACAGGCATCTTGTGTGGGCTTGTGCTCGTCCCAGTCTCGAACGTACGGCGCCGAAATCCATACTTCAATCGACCGGAGCGACAAAGCATTGGCCAGCAGCACTTGCTCGACGCTCGCCAGCACACCGGGGCCATGCTCCATGTTGCAATCGTGAGCGAGAGGTGGCCAAGCGTCGGCCACGGGCGTGACGGTGCAGTAAGAACCAGTGGCGTGTCGGCGAGCACAGTCGGCGCGGTCACTCGAAGCGTTGGGTGCACGCTGAGAAGCTGCGCGAGGAGGTTATTGGCGTTGGCGAGCTGCGTGAGCACACCGAGGTCGAGGCCGGGCCAAAGCGCGTCGGATCCGAGGACCTGGGCGAGCGTTGCGACGAGTCGGAGCGATGGCGTGCGAAGCTGGTCGGGCAGTGCGCGAAGAAACGTGGTGTAGTCTTCAGACGCCAAGTACGGCGCAATTGCTTCGAGCAGCTCGGGCGACAGCAGATTTGGGTGAGGCGTGAGGCGGCGCCGGCGCGTACCATGGTCTTGCAGCGCACGTTGCATCGCAAAATTCAAAGTGCAAAATCGTTTCATGTGTCCAGATGCCTTTCTATTTAATTTAGCCAATGGGAGGATCCAAAAGCCAAGTTTCCCGCCAAAAAAGCCACCCACCAAACGTTCCCGCCAAATCAGTAGTGTATGCCAACGCCACGTGGCAGGACTTCCGGATACGTACCTGGTATCGGGTGATCCGCACAGTCCCCGGATCGTTAAGATGAGTGTCTTGTTGTCTTAAGGGTGCAAGAACATTCCTATGCTGCGACCTTTGCAACAAGGAAGCGATGAGGCGTAGCAATTGCTTGCCTGACGCAAGGACTCTTGCTGCTTGCTTACATGAAATCAGGCATGGAATGCCCGTTGCCATTCATGATATTGGCTTAGAAAGTACATAACTAACGAGCAGGAAGTTTGGTATGCCCTACGCCGACACCATCGGTACTGTATTATATCGGTGTCGCGACGTCAGGTATGTACGACAAATTCAAGGGAAAGGTACATGCAGGAAGCGCATCGTCTGGCGGCGCTCACACACCGTGCTCCACGACGATGTTCATTTGAATCATTAAAAAGCATTATCAAAGCGACGTGTCGCAGTGCTACGTCATGGAGCCGCATCGCATCGTTACTTGGGGATCTGCACCTTGAGCCGCTTGGTACATCCCGCCGCCTCGTCGTCAAGATGGAGCTCTACATAATCACGATAATAATGGCGATGAGGCCGCGTCCGGGCGATTCGTATTGGCTACTTCGGGCGGACGGCGGCAGACGAGGAACGTCCGTGCGCTTGGGCCCTGCAATCTACACGTCGACTGAGCTCCTCTCTCTTGGTTTCGTGCACAGTGACCTTGGACGCAGGCGAGAACGGGACCTTGAGAGAGAACTGTGCAATGTGGTTCCGGAACGCCTCCTACTTTCGAGATCAGACTACTGCTAGAGGATGAGCACGGATATAGGGTACCGAGATGGCTTGCTCGGTCGCCTTGTCGCTCGTCCGGCTGTACACGCGCAGAATGCGCTCTTCGAACTACAAACCATTTTTTACCAATTGTCCATTTTTATCAAACATCAAAAATTGTACCTTTTCCGGAAAGAGGAGGCTCACTTCTTGCTTGGGTGTATGGAATTTCTCTACCAATGATGTCCAGAACCATGACCACCCCTTAACAAACACGCATACCGTTGTGATTGGATGACGTGTAGAACGACACCATATCCACGGGGTTCTTGTCCTAAAACGAGTTGGAGTGGCCGTTCGCGTGGTCGAGGGTAGGGTTTGACGTCCTCGCCATGAGCAACGAGGTGTAGTACCTTGAGGTTGTAGTTGAGCTTTCCATCATAGACAATAATGTCGTCGACGTTCAAGTCGATGCCGGATGCATTGCCAGCACACGCAATGTCGGCTGGCCGCACCTACGCGATAGTACAATTCTGATCATGCGATATTCTAATCTTGGGAACGACCTTGGGAATCGCGTTCGTGAGCGTCGATGGCACGAGGTACTCGTCGACAAACTCGTAGAGTTCGCGGCGACGGATGCGGCGGACGATATCACGCGCAGCCTGGAGCGCCGGATCCTTGGAGCACTCAATCTAATAACGCGTCGTGCGTCCTCGCTCTAAAACAAATCACAATTTCGAATCGTGGCCATACCATCTTGACGATGTGGTCGGTCATGTATTGAAACTCGTCCGGCGACTCGGTCGACGCCGAAATGCCCAGCGCCTTGTCTATTGAAAACGATGGTCACATTGTGCATTTTATGTGTTTTACCGGCCAAGACCATGGCGTCGCACATCATGTACTCGACAGCCTTGCCCTTGCGGTGTCCGTAAATCTAAACCATTTTTCATTAGATAAAATGCGCATGGAGATTTCAAAAAAGTGTCGCAGGAGACCTGCTTGTGCATGTAATAGCGCTGGTCAAACAGCTCGTAAATGTCCGACGTGACCGACGCATGGTAGCAGATCTCATTGTCAATCACGCGGTTGTAGTGCCAGAGACGGCTGTAGTTGTAGCCTTTCTTGCCGCCAAAGAGATTTTGCATGTCTACAAATAAATCCAAAAAATCATCCTCGCCAGCGCGGACCGATGTCGGGCCTACCGCGGGCAAGGTAGTCGAACTTGTCCACATCAATGCAGTTGCGGCCGTTGGCGACAATTTCGTACAAGTAGCCGCGGTCGTCGAGGCGCTTGCCATGCGTGCTACGCCACACATGTGCATCTGCCATTTCGTATCACGACAGTCGTACGCCTTGGCGCCGTTGATGAGCTCTTGGACAAAACGCACATCGCTTTGGTCCATGTCAATGTGGTTGTCGTCGATGAGATACTCAAACATGCGCAGCGACATGGCTTCGTGCGAGTAGTCGGAGCCGGGGCGCACGGCTGGCATGAACTCGGCATCAAAGACGTGCGAGAAGGGCCCATGGCCCAAGTCGTGGGCGAGGCCCGCCACGCTCTACATCGCAATCATGTCCTTCCTGCCAACGCGGTCATTGTACGAGCAAATCAATGTCCCGTGCCGAGAGGCCGAGCTCGGGCTGCGTGGCCTGGAAGCGGGCGACCGTCTCGCCGGCGAGATGGGCGACGCCGAGCGAGTGCTCGAACCGATTGTGGCTCGCGCCAGGAAACACATAGTAGAGCGTGCCTAGCGCACGCTTCATACGACGCGCCGATCGAGATGAAGCGTACCGAGCTGCTTCAAGTCGCGGAGCCGCTGGAACTGCGGCGTGTCGATGATCGAGACGCACGTCGGGCTCATGCGGATGTAGCCATGGACCTGGTCTAATGCATCACCATGCGATGAGCGTGGCGCCTCCCATGAGGTCGTCGTCGTCATACCGTTGAAGAGCTTGGCGTCGCGCATGCTTTCAAGCCGGCGACGTTGAAGTGTCCCACGTCGTCACTGGCAACGGCTCCACGGGGGTGGTCCCTGGTCCAATCGCACCAACAAATGGGTCCTTGCAAACCTTTGTCTTTTAATAAATAGGTCCATCGGGTCGGGTGGGGGACCCATCTTGTAGGCTTCAAAAACCTCTAGAAATATATAGTTGGAGCCATACGTGGCAGCCTCCTGCCATGGCTTGCCACGCGCCAGCGCGACGAAATGAGGGGTACTAGCATGGGGTACTAGGACGACGAGGTAGCAGAATCGCTACGCGGGATGTTGCATGGCAGACAACACATCTTCAAGAGCAAAAGCGATGTGTGTCGTAATGACAGCGGATAGAAAATTCACGCCGACTTCGACGGACTTATAGCACAATGTAGCTGTCGTCGTTGTCCTTGTGCTGGCGCCCCATGTGAATTGGTGCCTCTTGCGACGACTCGGTCCGCATGTAGCGAACGTTCCCGCTCTAGGATCGGTATCCATTGCATACCAGCTTTTCAAAATCCCTCGAGTCCTACCACGGGCTCGAGCATCGGTGTGCTCACGTCGAGGTTCGTGCCGCGGAGCTGGCTGCCGTTCTGGGACCGAATCCGACCTGGCGTGTGGCTACCGGTCCGCGACCGCGCCTGCTCCATCATCTACACAAAAGTCGTCATGCAAAGGTAACCACAACATGGATGAGCTTGGTACGCTGCGATTCTCAAGGCCGCGTGCGAGACGCTCAACGGCGGCAAAGGTCGTCGACGGGTCGCCGCCCATGGACGCCCGCGAGCCAAACCGGATAAAGCGATCCGGCTTTTGCGACGCCTTGGTCTTGGCAAGCTCTGCAAAGACCGACTTGGGCTTGAAGAGCAGCTACACACGATCCCAGCATTACGATCCATGCAAAAACGACGACTAGAAACACGCAACGCGACCTCGTTGTACGTGCCCCGCTCGACAATCGCGCCGGCTTGCATGACAAAGATGACGTCGGCGTTCTGCGTCGTCGCAATGCGATGCGTGACCGAG